CCCTGGGGCCGCCTCCGGGCTGCGGCGGGGGGAGGGGCAGGGGGAGGAAGAGGAGGGAGGGAGGGAGGAGGAAGGGAGGACTTCCCGGGCTCTGAGGGCCGTGCTCAGGCCTTATGTCCACCCAACTCCTACTCTGGCTGAGAGGTTTCGGTCTTTATCCAGGTGGCGTTCATCCACATGAGTTGTTACTGTGATAAACATCCCTTCCCTGCTCAGTGCTTTATTTATTTTTCACTCTCTTCTGATATATGAGGCATTTTGAGGGAGGAGGAAGGGAGGACTTCCCGGGCTCTGAGGGCCGTGCTCAGGCCTTATGTCCACCCAACTCCTACTCTGGCTGAGAGGTTTCGGTCTTTATCCAGGTGGCGTTCATCCACATGAGTTGTTACTGTGATAAACATCCCTTCCCTGCTCAGTGCTTTATTTATTTTTCACTCTCTTCTGATATATGAGGCATTTTGGTGGTAGGGGGGACTTCGTCTTAGTCTCTGTACCTTTTCCTATGGTCTATAAACCTTTTCCTTCAGTCTAATAATCTGACACGAATTGTCCCAGGAGACTCATAGTTTGATGAAGTTTTCTGACCAGGCTACTAAACTTGTGTTTTAATTTCCTTGAGTGTGTTCTGGTTCCTGTCAGTCAGGATCAGCAAGGGAGTCACACTAATGGTTGTTTCAGGCTGTAAAATTAAAGACTGTTGTTGTCAGGACTGTAAGTACAGGACTCACTGACATGCTGGACTTAAGAGCAGAGAAAGACAATGCCAATTAAAAAAAATAGTCTGAAAAGCAAAAGAAACAGAACCAAACAGAGGTGAGAGAGTTGGGGCTGTTCAGGCTGGAAAAGAGGAGGCTCCAGAGAGACCTTGGAGCACCTTCCAGTGCCTGAAGAGGTTCCAGGAAAGCTGGGGAGGGGCTTTTTACTGGAGAAGGCAGTGATGGGACAAGGAGTAATGGTTTTAAACTGGAAGGGGGGAGATTTAGGTTAAACATCAGGAAGAAATTATTCCCCATGAGGGCAGTAAGGAATAGGTTTCCTGGGGAAGTTGCTGATGCCCCCTCCCTGGAGGTGTTCAAGGCCAGGTTGGATGAGGCTTGTGCAGCCTGGTCTGGTGGGAGGTGTTCCTCCTCATAGCAAGGGGGTTGGAACCTGCTGAGCCTTAAGGTCCCTGGCAACCTTTATGATTTTATGATTCTAAATCTCTGCAGATTCCCTGTAGTGTCCCCCAATAATACACACGTTTGTGAGGGCCAGATCCAAACACAGAACTCATGGGAGAAAGTACATTCCCCAAACCAAAATGCTGCTTTTCAGGTTGAAGGCCAGATTGTCTTTCTGGGGAAGGAAAGATTTTAAGAGTTGCCACAAAACTTTGTTAGAATCAACCATGTTTCTTTGTTCTCTTTTGCAGAATCAGGTGCAGCTGTCTGTGAATTTTTTTTAAAAGCGGCCTGTGGGAAAGGCAAGTTGTATTTCCAATACAGTCACATTCTTGGGGGCAAAGTGGGGGGGCAAACTAGATTTTCTAGCACTGTTTGCAATCCTCCTGGTGTTTTGTAAAGCTGGGATAGAGGATAAAAATGCAGGATACTGGAATAACTGCATTCGGAAACCCCCTTTGCAGGGGGAAAAGTGGTGTTGCTGTTGCCCTGTGCCTTCCTGTTCCACAGGTTGTAACTGTTCTTTCTTTCCCTTCTCCTTGCCCTGTCCTCCTGCAGGAGGCATGTGCCCCTTCAGACACATCAGTGGGGAAAAGACAGTTGTTTGCAAACACTGGCTACGAGGACTGTGCAAAAAAGGAGACCAGTGCGAGTTTCTGCACGAGTATGACATGACCAAGATGCCTGAGTGTTACTTCTACTCCAAATTTGGTAAGGGGTGTTGTGGCTCCTACTACTCCCTTGCTAGCATGGGAGTCTGGTGAAGAGGGTCCTGGTGCATCCATCTTCAGGGTGTTACTGTTCTTCAGTGTCTGATGTTTTGTTAGTTTGTACTTTTCCAGATCTCCTTATCCCCCTGAATTTGTGACATATTGTAGATCTCTTGAGAGCTCATCCCTTGGGGGAAGAGGGGGAAACTCAGGTTTTTACTGGGTTTTAGGCCTTTTGATCTTTCCTGGGTATGAGATGAGTAGACTGAGCAGTTGGTCTTTGCATGAGTCTTATTTTGGGGAGTTGATGAGCAGCAGAGGGCATGGGGGTGCAACACTTTTATGCACTTGCTTTCCAGCTCTGGAGATCTGGACATAATGAGGCAACTTGCTGTCAGAAACTTACAGTCTTGTAGGTTTCCTTGGACTGAGGTTAGTGTGCAATTTGTAGTTCCTCCACACCCGTGGTGCACTAAATGCTTGGTTTTTGTTCTCATGACTGCTGTTTCAAATTTAGTTTCCACATTTTGAGTTTGAAAGCACACATAAGTAATCCAGTCTGGTAGAGCTTTACTCACCGAGGATGAGTCCTTGGTGTTCTGCATCTAGGTTAAGGCAGGAAGTAAGACTTGTGCCTGAACTGATAAGTGCTGCTAACAGCTTTCTGGGAGCTACGTGATCCAGGTAATGTTTTGGGAGTTAATTTGCTCTGGAACCTGCACTCTTGACTGAGAAGTGTCTTTCCCTTTGGTGCAGGGGAATGCAGTAACAAAGAATGTCCATTCTTGCACATCGACCCGGAGTCTAAGATCAAGGACTGTCCCTGGTATGATAGAGGCTTCTGTAAACATGGTATGTATGTCACACAGTGGCTACTTCTGTGGCTATAAATCAAGGGTAGGGTCTGGCTGTTCTGTCTCTGCATCATCTGTGTAGCTGCTGGGGGAGCATCTGTGTGGAAGGTGAACAACAGAGCTTTGTGTTGCAGGTCCCCTCTGCAGACACCGGCACACTCGGAGAGTCATTTGTGTGAATTACCTCGTGGGATTCTGTCCCGAGGGGCCTACCTGTAAATTCATGCAGTGAGTATGCTTCCAGGCTGGGCTGGAAGCTTGTCTTTCTCATGGAATCCCATCCATCTCAAACGAGGGTGCTCTAGTGCTTCCCAAGAGCTTTGGAGATGTGGCCAAACTTTAGTTTGTACAGATTTGAGAATATGGGCAGGGCCTCTGCAGGGAGTTATCGGTGAGACTCTGCATGGTGATCAGATGCCAAGAGTCCAGTGGGATCAGATGGGTTTGTATTCCAGAAGACTTCCCAGCTAGAGAGTTGTATGGCATACTGGATTCGCATTTCCTTGTACATAATTGCTGAGTATCAGGGAAGTGGGGAGGGGGATGTTTGTCTCCTGGGAGCTGTATTTAATCAGCTGAATGTTTGTGGTGTTTGGAGTTAGGTGACTGAGCTGGTGCTAAAACGTTGGCACATGGTTTGAGAATCAATTTTCTTGTTTCCATCTAAACCAGCCCTCGGTTTGAACTGCCAATGGGAACCACAGAGCAACCACCACTGCCTCAGCCAACACAAACCCAGCAAAAGGTACATAGTTCCACCCCCCACACCTACCCTCAAAGCCTCTCCCACAGCTCTTTAAAAGAGGGTGTATTGCCCAGTCAGAACTGGACACCTGGGCTCTTGCATCTGCATTGCAGAAATCCTGAATGAGGTAAAGCCCTTCCTGTTCTACAAAAGGGTGTGATATTCTTTTGTGATTAAGAACTTGGGGACAAATCCAAGCAGAGCTCTGTCCCTTCTCTTTCTTCCTCCCAGCCCTCTCATGTCCACCAGCTGATCACAATGGACTGGTGTTGCCTTCACCCTGGCATTGTGGTGTTTTTGCTTTGTTCTCTTTCTCCCTTTAACCTTCTTGATCATTAGTGCTGTCCTCCGGCTCAGAGGCCAGCAGTGACAGGTCCTGTTCTTTGGGGCAGTGCCTGGCAGGGAGGGTGCTCTGCAAGAATTAAGCAGCCACCCTGAGTGCTGCTACGGTGCTGAAAATCCTGCCACTGCTCCCACTTTTTGTGGAGATCTGCTCACAGAACACTCCCACATCACATAAAAGCAAATCATCTGTGGTTGTGTGATGATCTGCCAAGGTTTTGTCATTTGCCTGACATCTCTCAGTGGTGGCAGTGGTATTTTAGCAGCATAAACCTACTCTCTAAATCTGCTTTCTAGAGAAAAGCAGCATCGCTGGACTTTGTAAGCCTCAGCACTTGATTTCTTCTCTCTGCTGCTCCAGCTGGCAGAGCACCCACACACAGACTTGGAGGAAAATTGATCATCCAATACGTGGGTGCTCTTTTCCCTTAACAAAATAACAACCATAAAGGTCCTTATCCTCGATGCACTTAATGAGTCTGAACTTTTCTCCTCACCCACAGAGGACACCCCAAGTCATTGGAGTCATGCAGTCTCAAAATAACAACTCTGGGAACAGAGGACCCCGGCCGTTGGAGCAGGTCACCTGCTACAAGGTAATTGAGAGGGGTGAGAGAGGGAGGGATTGAAGAGGTGCAAGGTTTGTGTCACCTGGACACCTGTGACATCAGGCTGCTTTGCTGCTGGGTGCTTGTCACGGGCAAAGGTCTGTCCTGATGAGCAATGTTGGTCCTGAAAAAGGTTCTTTTGTGGTGTGAACTCGTGCTGTGCTTGCAGGTGTTGCATTTTGTGCATGGATGCAGCTGTAGGAACTGGCTCTGAGTTCTGGGGGCTCCAGGTCCCTGGTTTGCCAGCTTACAGACTTGCTGTGACAGTTAAGGCTGCTGTAGGACTGACAGTGCTCATCTGCTAATGAACAGGAAACCCAACCACAGTGGCAGTTGAAGGAGACTGCTGAGCATTTCAAATTAACAGTGAATGTTAGTTTTGTGTCATGAATTGATTTGCTTAGACTTGGTGATTGTGGGAAGATTTTCTTCTCCCCTCTTAGCATGAAAGGTCCTTGGGAGTAACAAGTTGAATATGTAAAGACTGCTCAGTATTTCAGCTGTCAAACCAAGGAATGAGCTGTTCCCATTGGTTGTTCCTTGAGGAGCACAAGTAAAACTTACACACTTGTTAAGTACCAGCTTCTCTTAAGGTAACTTCTGTGCCTTAGGTGCTTGTTTGGGTAAAAATCCCTGTGGTTGGACAGGGATAGTAAGTAGCTGAATCTATTTCACTGAAAATCATGAATAGCTGCTTAGTATTTTAGCTGCAAGTAATATTCCATATCTGGAGATCCTTGTAGCACCAGATACTGGTATTTCTCTTTGGGCTTGAAGAGCTTCAAGGTGCTGTTGTGAATCTCTGGTTGAGATGCACCTTCCTCTGTCTAATGCTGCATCTTCCATATGTGGAAAAGCTTCCCAGTCAGAACTGTTGCTGGCTTACCTTAATAAAGGCAGCTAGAGGGGAAAAAAGCTGTCACTGTAGAATAACTCCTCTCTCTCTCTTTTCTCTTTTAGTGTGGTGAAAAAGGTCATTATGCCAACAGATGCACCAAAGGACATCTGGCCTTTCTCAGTGGACAGTGAAAGAGCAGAATGAAGAGTGCAGGGGAGCTGTTAACACTGAGGAAAGGTTTCTGCCTAGCACCATGTCTTGAACTATTAATCAGGTTGTTTTTTAATGCCATTACTGAAAGAACTGGTCAGAGGCTGGCTGCTGCTAAGCAACATTTTTGTAATTGCCCACAAATCTTTTTTTTTATGTTTTAACCTTTTTAAAAATAGATTTTGGCCTCCGCCCATGTTCATTGAGCCCTGCTGAAAGGCAGATCTAAAAGCAAATGGATGTGGAACCCCCTCACAGTGCAGCACTCTACATAAACACATCTTATGCCAGTGTTTCCTTCAAGTGTTTTCCTTCTGCCACTTCTCTTGGGAGAACCTGCAGCATTTTCAGCCCTCCCTGTGGGAAGCAGGAAGACTGACTGGGAAAGCTTAATACTTGGAATGCCTTCCCTTCAGGGAGGAAGCAGGGATTCTGCTGTTCTGTGGCTCTTCAAAAGCCCAAGTCATGTTCCCAGCTCCAGCCTGCTGTAGTGGGTGTGCTGGTGGTTGACAACGTGTCACGTACATCAGGTTGTAAAACTCTCATCCACTTGTTTCTTTCTGCGCTTCTTCCTGTGCTGAAGGGTAGAAATTGAATCTTCTGGGTGAGAACTGATCAAGGGGGAGAATAAATGGGCATCTCTGTGGTTAGCTGAGCAATGAGGAGCAGTGGGTGGAGGAAAGCTCCATTTGTGCTCCTTTCTGTGTGCAAAAATCCAGGAGGGAAAGGAACATGGCTTGGAGAGTAGGAATAAAAGAGCCTTGTCTGAGCCCCCCGTCATCCAGCTCACAGTGAGCAGGTGTTTCCATAGCCTAGAGAAGATGAAGGAGTGGAGATGTGTATTCTTACAGAGCACTGCTTTTAAAAGCAGCAGAGCATTCTTCTGAGAGCAGTTTTTGCCAGCCAAACCCCTTCATTTTGTGAGAAGACTGTTTCAGAAGGGCCAATGACAAAATGTGAATTAAAAAAAAAGAAAAAAATGCACCTACAACATGAGCCTTATTGATTCTAACCCCCCTCTCATTTGCTGGCTGCCTTTATCCTCTGTTTTTATTGAAATGTTCTGATGGAAAGAGCTGGCTGTGTTTTTTTTTCCTTTTCTTTTTTGTGAACAAGGTAAAATGACCAGATTAAGAAAAGGCACCAGAGCCTGTGTTGGTTTGAATGCTGTTCTTTCACTGTGGAGACTCAGAGTCACTCAAAATAGAAGTTGAAAGCCTCAGTGACTGGTATGACAGACCCTGACACTCCTCCTAACATGTTGTGCCCCTCCAGGTTGCAGTGATCAGGCTATGAGATCAATTAATCTGTGTGGAACTGGGCATGTGGAAAGGGATCTGAAGGTGTCTGGCTGCCTTCCCTGCCTAGGGCAGGAATTTATGGTCTCCACTACCTTTTCCAAAACAGAAAGCCTTCCTTTTAACTCTGAAGCTCCTGAGAGATTCTTTTTATCCCTTAACAAGTGGGTTTCATTCTCCCTCCTCTTTAGAACGGATCGTGTTGGTGGTACCTGTGGTCCCAGCTGCAGTTCCAGGTGGCAGCAGGTCCTTGTGCAGTGGGTCAGCACCTGGGGCTGAGCCACCAGTGCTCTTTTACTCTGCTTTTATACGTGTAGTGGCTCCTGTTGGAGATCTCAGCACTGCATGTCAGTCAAGAAGCAGTTTTCCCTCAGTTTAACTTCACAGATCTTTGTTAGAGTAAGGGTCTCTTAAGCTTGTACCTCTTCAGAATAACCTTCCATCTTCTCTAAGTAACAGAAATAGGTAGGGTTTTGATAGAAATAGTTCATTGGAGGCAAGAAGCTCTAGCATCCCAGTGATAGAATCAGAGTTGCAGACTCCTTAGAGCTCAGCTGATCTCACCTGAGGTAGCACTGCCATGATGGAGAACTGTCACGGGGTGATGCCTGAGTGAGAGAAACATGTGGCCACACCAACAAGCTGCCTAAACCCCAAGTATTCTTTCAAATCAAAATACATCCTTCCAGCTAGTTGTCCACCCTCTATGTAATGTCCATTAGGAAGCAATTCCCTGCTTTTTACTTCTATCAAACAGCTAAATAAGAATCAGTATTAAAGAGTTTCTCCAGTTCATAATGTAGCCCAAGTAGCAGAGGCTTTCCCAGCCACCTCTGAACTCACCCTGGAGAGGTGAAACTTGAGATAAACTCACCTACACAGGACAATTAACAAGTCAGTGTCACCTCAGTAGGTGTGAAGTGCCTTTATTTTTGGTCATAACAGTACAGATTGTAGTATGATTAGTTCTGATGTTTGCAGGCAGGATAACTGTGCCAATAGCCAAGGCTGTTCCAGAGCTGCACCTTCACTTTTCAGTGGTACTTTCTCCAGCGGTCGTGCTCTGCGTCAAGGAAAAGCAAGTTAGTTTTCCTGAAGCCACAAGATTAAAAAAAAGAACCAACCAAACAAAAAAACCACCTGAAATTACAAGAAAGAAAGCACTCTAAAAAAGTTGTTGTTTCTAAGTACTGCCAGGTCAGACAAATGAAATTCAAGTGTTTTCCTCACCACAGGAAATACTGTCTGTCCAATAACTTACTGAAAGCATCCCAACTGGGATAGAAGATCCCCATGGCTAGAAGTTTGCTTGCCCACAGTCTCAGATCAAGCAGCAATGGTTAGCAAAGTCTTTAATTTTATTTCTAAAAGCAACAGCAGATTAGTTTTTATCACCTCATCCCTACTGCTTTTACTTACTGATGTGACTGTAGCTCCAGATGTAGCTGACAACAACATAACCAGCCAGCACCATGGTGACCCCAGCCAGGCCCCCTTTCCTCACATTGATGTATTTATTGTAGTATCTGTCATAACCTGTGGAGGAGAAAAGTTGTTTTCAGAGCAGCTGGGCAAGTTTTGTGTTTTTCTGTCTCAGAAAGAAGCAGCCTGGTTTCCCAGAACTTCAGGAAATTGTTTCTGGTGAAGGAAGGCAGCCTGTGTGTTAGTTGGGCCAGGTGAGCTCATGTTAACAGTGCTAAGCTTTAGAAAGCAAAAAAACCCCAATATATAATTTTTCATGAATAATTACTGTGACTTTGATGAACTGAAGCTGTTCTGGAGTTACCCAGTTCTTTAATACTCAATCCTTTGCATTTACCTGAATGCCATCTCTGTCCCTATAGCAAAGGGCCAAAGGTCCTGCCAAGTGACCTATAAAAGCCTTGTGTCCTTTCTTACCATCTTTAGGAATGGCAAATAGGTTCAGGAGTTAGGGAGCCACGTTTCCTCTTTATGCAAGAAGGAATACTGCCAGCAGAACTCTGGCAGAGAGAGCCCATGAAAGAAACACCTTTACAGATGGGAGAACAAGGCGCTACTGGAGGGGCTGTTCTGGGAAGGCCCTGGGCTGCCGGATCCGCCCCCAGTCCCAGCCGAGAGCTGCTGCAGCCGCCACTGACCCGGCGGCCCTCACCTCTCCGCAGGGCGCCCACGATGCCGCCGGGGGTGAAGTCTCTCATGGCCACCCAGCTGGGCAGCTGGCCCAGCTTCACGTCCATCAGCTTCATGTCCTTGAGGAGAACTGCGGCACAGACAGAGACACAGCCCGGTCAGGGGAGAGAGGAGAAAGGGAAGGGGCCGCGGTCACCTTGGCGGCCGCTGCACTCACCCGGCGG